AGCCCTCATAGAATTATCATAGGACATGTTACTAAATGCTTTTATGTGATAGTATGTACATTATGACTTGAACTCACTTACTTACAGTAATTATAAAGAAGAATTACAGAGCCCATCCTGCTCATAAGGGTACAGGGGCACCTGGAGTTCTATGAGTGCAGCCCAGCTTGCCTGAGGACCAGTATTCACCAGGGAAGACACATTCCGCCACGAATGTGGATGTATTGCATGTGTTGCAGATCACAGTGGTAGAGTTAGAACTAGTGGGCTGATGACTGTTTTTCTTTTTCTTTCTTTCTTTTTTATCTTTTTTAAGTAGATGGAAAGGTCATTCCGTTTCTCTCTTTGACCTATACCTAGAACTAGTTTGTGTCAAGTTCCCCCACCTGGCAATGTATTTGTCATCAAAGTATGGCAGTCCACTACACTAAGTCCAGTCTGGGGTATACATCAGGTCGCATGAGGCTAAAGTTTAAAATAGTCATTTGAGACATGACACTAAAATAGCCCATTCAATAATAGAAACGCAAAATTAGATGTTTTAGACAGTCCTGGTGGATTAAATGTCATTTTGTAAAGGGTTTCTATGGTGTTTGAATGGCTGAGTTCGGTTGAGCAGGTCCCATCCAGGAGGCCACTGGGGGTTAGCGACTCATTCTGTGCTTGATCCAGGTCAGGATTCTTGTGACCTCTACGGATATATCTGCTCAGTTAACTCGGCGAGAATTAAGTGGAAGATTAGTTAAATATGCCTATTACGTTAAAAAGCAAAATGAAACATGATTTCAAAACTCTTAGGGGTATTTCTATTTGTATTTTGTAAATCAGTTTTGAAATGTTACATTCTGTAAGTCCTTATCCGAAAATTTAAGTAATTCCGTGATTAGGCCTATTCTGTTCTTCATGATAATATCTCTCAAGCATGCGAGTAAGGAGGAATCACATAGGTTGTTAAAAAATTCTGATTTCTTGTCCGCCCACCCCTCCGTGCTGTCTGTGAGATTCTGTTTTCTGGTATGGACAGCAGTCTGCATTTTAACAGTTCTCTAAGCAGTCTGTGGGCCATCTTTTGAGAAAAAAAATGCTCTAAATGACGCTCAAAGATCCAGTCCTGTTAAATCATACCTTCTACTCTGAGACAAATTGAACTTTGTTCAGTATAGTGTGGTTGGTAGGATCACACCTTACGGATTTTGTGACCATGGCACGTTCCTCCTTAGACCTCCGTTGCCTCTTT